CTTAAAATGAACCCTGACCCAAACCCACTTGTTGATATCCCTTTCTCCTGTAGGTCTTATAGATGCACGAGTGGAAAAAGTATAAATCGAATTGGGTTTGACTAGGTTAGGATAATCAGATCAATTACGTCCGATACATAACACAGCTTATAGAGACTGAATAATAGTTCCATTGATCATACTGGTACACAACATCATATGATAACTTCCTGAATTTATATAGACGTTGGCTTGCGTATCAAATTATGGAAATTAATACTCGTATCTCTTGATATATTTTCTTGTGAAATAAAACGATATTTGTAATGGATATAATCAGACCCTTTGTTAAAGGGAGTGTAAAGAGGTTTTCTCCAAATTGTATGTGTATAGGGGACACTGATAGCACCAATTTGTATCATTCCAATTTTCAAACAGGCGTCTGTGGTTCTTGCAATTCCATTTAAACTATGGCGTCCCTATCACAAAGGTCCTTATATATCAATAGCATTAATATTGACGTCTGTTTTAGAGGAATTACAAGAGCAACCGTCTGGCCCACCCCCAGAATACGCCAATACCAGAGCCCGATCCAAAACATAAAAATGAGCATATTTCTGAATATCTAATGATCACTCATGCAGTAGGAAATACTTTGTAGGTTATAGATTGTGTTTATCTCCAATCGTTGCTAGAAAAAGGCAAAAAACCTTCTCATCTAACAGAAAAGTCATATCTGCTAACTAGGCTCTTTTATATTGTCAATGAATGGATGAACTTCACATATGACCTTTTAATATATTCGTTATATTTCCAAAGGTAGAGGGTCCAAAATGAGTGCACACATTCGTATTAAAAGTATCTAACTTTATATTGAACAAAAAACTGTTTTTTGGCCATAACTGCCACTTATGACCTTATATTTCTTTTATATCGGAATGTTATACATTGAAACCAACGTCAGCCTATGTACTCTGGCCTGATATACAGAGAATCAATTTCAAAGATCAAAGTACATAATATACAAAATTTCGTACAAGGAAATTTGTAATGAGATTTATGATGTCTAAAAATATCTCGGATGTTTTCATAAACCTCGATCGATAATAGTAATGGGCTTAATTCAAGAAAGAAAGGCTCGATTTTGACCAGAATTTCTAAAGAAATACTATTGTGATTAATTAACGTTCTAGAATATTAAATCATGGGAGTATTCACTTGTTTCGAGAATTGTTAAAACAATCTGTCTTTAAAAAATAATGTCATAGAAAACTCATTATTTTACTTGTAAAATATTATCGTTTCTTTTTTATTTTTCCTTTCTGTGTTAATAATGTATTATTGTTAAACATTTAATTTCTCCTGCCAACTCCTACTTACATATTATATTCCTTTGAGATATTCTGATAGGATTACAAGTAAACAAGATGACCTTTAAATTATAATCCATAAACTAATTGTGACAATATTCAAGGGATATATACATATATAAATAAAAATCCGTGCAAGCAAAATATCATGTTTGCTGTCACGTTGTCAAGATTAAAACCGGAACTACTGTACTCGCGTCTTACGTTGAGCCCGAACTTTCAGTAGTGTCAGAGGCGAGTCTAAAGGGAGGTTATACGGTAGATTCCCATTCCCGTTGATCAAAATCTCGTCTTAAGTATGGTAAAATCGAGAGTAGAAGTTGTATTGTAGCGGACTCCTCTAAATAGAAGTACCATCAGGATTTTCATTAAGATCAAGCATATAATCGGTTAACTTTGCGAGATTTATATAAAATGTTGCTAAATTGCGTAACCATGGTTTGTTAGTGTTGAAATGTCTGCTGAAGAATTGGTGTTATGAAACCATCTTTGGACATAAAATATAAAAAACGAACCTTTTTATAGATATTTTATCGTTACCAACCACGTATCTCTAGTTTACTAATACCAATTAATGCATCTAATATGAATTCTATTTGTTTGTGAAATTTTGTTTCAAAGACAAAAATGAAATGAAATTGATCGAGTGTTACGTTCTAATTTTCTGCACCATGTAGGTCAATGAAGACGGTCAACGCCATGCAAGGTGCAATGAGGGAAATTTTGCTTATCAAAATACCGTTGTTTTTTTTCTGAAATTGCTTTAATACTTATTATTGTTCACATCTTGTCATGTTAACCATCACTAAATTTTTAAATCGATAAAAGATAATTCAGAGAAAATGAGCAAACGTGTTTTTGCTTATCAAATAAGCATTTCGTTGTCATTAGAAAATTGTTTATAAAATCGATTTTTTCCTCTTGAACTCCATTTCTCTCAACATTTTAATATTACATCAAATTATAAAATCATTGAATAGATTAATAGGAAGTGTATCGCGAGAAGATTATTACTACTTTAATTTCTCGTAAACATATCCCACTAGTAAACGCATGGGTGTGAGGGGAACTTTATAGAATATATGACAAAATGTTTTTATAAATCTGAAGAATACAACTGAATTCCTGTTTGTCGTTCAGTGGTGTTGCTACTAGTGTACATCCATATTATAGAATATTTCAAGTATGTGATTGTAATATTTCATCATCCTGGGTAATTGATAGTGTCTGAGCCTTTTTGTGTTTTCATCAACTCTCTTGAGGTTACTAAATCAAAGGTGACAATTGGAACTTTGAAAACCAAAACACCAGCAACATTAACAAGGTTCTATCTGATTTAAATGAGTTTTAAAGAACTGCGAAAATAAACCAACTTTTATTGTAATTACTGATACTGATTCCAAATTACACTTTAATAAATAATAATGTTAAACATCATCTGAAACTATCAAATTTTTCAACTTTACAACAAAACTAAATATGATAACAGTACCTAACTGTTCCCTACATCATTGTCAGGGGTTCTGTAACCCTTGCTACACTAGTATACTTCCATTCCAACACTGGATGACTACACAAACAATAACATGTAGGTATGGTACAGGTATTGTGCGTCTTACAAGTTAACTGTAGCCTAAAATGTGAGGTCTTGGTAGATCTACCAGTCAATAACAAAATTGTGACAAAGGCATGTATTTCCTTATTTCCGTGAGATCAGCTACTTTGTTCTGGAGATTATTTTGGAAGTGGGCTGCATTCTGTGCTTTCGGTTGCAAATTTTCTATGTTCTGATATATAAAATTTTCAGCCTGATGGAATATTTTATACTGTATACTTCAAATGACCTTGCTGATGACATCTTAATTGAAGTTACTTTGGAGAATGTAACTTCCTTAAAAGAAAGGGATTTAGCACAAGTTTGGTAGTCTTTGAAGTTGTAACCCCTCAGTGTATGGTTTATTTCTGTTTGCCTTCATCATGATTCGAATTGCAGACAAAATTCAGCTACAGCCATTGTCTTTTCTAATGCTCATCTAACTAAACTACAAGCTGAAATCTGATTTGTTTTTTGGAAGACTTACTTCCTATCTAAGCCTAGGCCTCATAGGTGGAAAGTAGAATCCTGTTATTTTAAACAAGATGTCCGCTGCTGAATTGAAACTTTGTAATTCTGTTGTGGACATACGATTGATGGGTTTTACATAGTATTCTCTTGCTAGTAGATATACTTTGCTCAAAATTTTAGTTAGAACCCAGAGTTTCCGATTAGCGACTAAATCACCCTGGAACGTTTTTGTCCCTTTATATATATATAATATTTGGAATCCAAGACTAGCTTGCTTTGAAAGAAGTAATCCAACACCAGACAAAAAGTCATGTGGCTACCGAAACCTAATATGGGCGTTGAAACATTTGTATAAATACAATAATACAATCATTTACATAGCGCCCTATGTAAAATAAAATAAACCCTTGGAAGGTATATTAAATTACAATTACTGTAATCATGCATAAAGTTCGTTAAGAATTCATTCAAAATACCGCTTATTTAATATTATATTCTTCCGCATTCCCATTCAATATTCAAATATTCCAGCCAGCAGATGTCTCAACATCCTTAGCGAACAGTAAGTATTTAGAACATTTTTTATCTTGTAGCAAGAATTAGAAAGATGTTAGTCAAGTTTTTATACCACACACAATAATGTGGGCTTATATTGTCGTCCTCTATCTGTCCGTCCGTCAATCTGTTAATCCACAATTGATGTGCACACGATAGAGAGCTCGTTTCGTTTTTTTTTACAAGTTGGCGTGAGGAAGAAAAAATGAGTTTTTGCCCTTGTTCTTGAAGATATGGTTAAGTTTTAAGCTCGTACACAGTCTAGAAGGCATAATTCTTGACAGATTTTAAAGAAACTTGGTGGAATTGTTTATTACCCAAGTATGAACAGAAAAATCGAAAAGTATTTAATATGAGTTATATACCCAATATTCTTAAAAACGTGTTCAATTTTTAGCTCGTTAACACTACAGATGGTAAAATTCTGGACGAAACTTGGTGCACTTGTTTTAACCAGTACATATGTAGTTGAGCCACTGTGAACATTTCCATACAATGAAAAGCTATTTGTTTTCTTCAGATGAATGAAATAGATAGAAACACGTTAATAGCTTGTCAGCAGTTCTTCAGAGAAAATTGGTACTCGAAAGACCCTAATTTACTGGAGCAATGTGAATTCACTGGGTTAATTACAAAGCACATGGCAGAGAAAGTCAAGGTATTGTAAATCTCATTTTGCCCACAGAAAACAGTCATTGCTCCAGGCACAGTGCTGCAGCTATATGATCATACATGTCAGATTTATATCAATCTAATTAAATTATATTACAATTTCGTCTCGTTATTAGTTTTTATTCGGTCTCCATTGATTGGTTGGTATATAACAAGTTAACTTTCGCTTCCAGCGTATACTGATATCGCAAACTAGGTAGTTGTTGGTAGACGAAGTAGTTGGTTTGGTTCAAATAAGATGACTCTGTGTTGTTGGTTTGGTTGTTGATACTTCGTTAGATCTGGTCGGGTCGAATGACATGGCGGTGATTGGTCTCCATTGTTTGGTTGGTAGATGACAAGTTAACGTTCGCTTCCAACTAACTAGGTAGTTGTTGGTAGTGGTAGTAGTTGGTAGTGGTAGTAGTTGGTAGTGGTAGTAGTTGGTAGTGGTAGTAGTTGGTAGTGGTAGTTGTTGGTAGTGGTAGTAGTTGGTAGTGGTAGTAGTTGGTAGTGGTAGTAGTTGGTAGTGGTAGTTGTTGGTAGTGGTAGTAGTTGGTAGTGGTAGTAGTTGGTAGTTGTTGGTAGTGGTAGTAGTTGGTAGTTGGTAGTTGGTAGTGGTAGTAGTTGGTAGTGGTAGTAGTTGGTAGTGGTAGTTGTTGGTAGTGGTAGTAGTTGGTAGTGGTAGTAGTTGGTAGTGGTAGTAGTTGGTAGTGGTAGTTGTTGGTAGTGGTAGTAGTTGGTAGTGGTAGTAGTTGGTAGTGGTAGTAGTTGGTAGTGGTAGTTGTTGGTAGTGGTAGTAGTTGGTAGTTGGTCTCCATTCCAATATTAAAAGATTTATACCAAGGTGGCGTTCATTTCAACCAATCACCGCGCATCATGCAAAAATATCAACTATTAATATTGCGGAACAAAAAGTAGATCGATATGATCAATGAATTATGAGACTGTCGATGGGATTCTGATTGGTGGGAGAGTGGCGCTGCTATGAATAGTATATAGCTTTACTCGACCGTGGTTGAAATCAAGTTAGATTACAATGAAGAAAAATTAATGATAACGAAACGAAATTGTTATCTAATTTGATATTGGCATGACCTCGAACTTAACATGTTGGAAAGGAAACAATCATTTCTCACCCATCAAAATAGTTGTCAGTGAGAAGTGCTTGGTTATTTCTCTTTCAAACTGAACAGAAAAATACAACGATATGTGAATATGTTATTCTTTAGACTTCTTTTTGATTCGGTCAAGTTCCAAAAACTCTACTGTCTTATGTGAATACATTTTAGAGGGACAGTTGAGGAAATTTGAGCCTTGAAATCTATGTGTGGTCATAACTATCCGCATTTGAATGTTGAAATACTCTGTGATATGTAGAAAAGAAATATATAGAAATAGTGAGTACAATTCCTAGTTTGGAGTGTTTTTAAAGGATTTTCTTACATTTCTAGTACTTCTGAGGACTGTTTACATATATTCAAGACTCAAATCCAACCCCTAAAATGGCGTATCTGCCCCTTTAACATGGATTTTAATATTTTTGAGTGGGCAAAGGCTCAGATATATTTTCCAAGCCTTATTAATTTTTTTTCGATAAAAAGAATATCGTATTGCTTACTTAGACCATAGTTACTCTTTGTTTACCTCTCAAGTATAAACATTCAATGTGTGTATTAAAATTGTTGTACTATTGTTTTATTGTTTGGAATCAGTTATGCATAGTTGATATAGGCTTAATATCTAATGTATCAAATTTATCCACTGACGTCAGTGATCAATTTTAATGAAGTATATATGTTAAAGGAATACTACGTCTTAGAATGAACATGAATTTAGAATTTTAAACTTGGTCAATACATATGTTCATCAGTAGATATACCTGGTGTCATAAATAACATAACTGGATCCTTTTATACTCCGATAAATCCAAAAAACTTAGTAATTAACCATAAATATGCAATTAACTATTGCAAAACACTTAATATCAAGATTAAGCGTTTTTCAATAATAACTTAGTTTTATGAATTTTCCAATTTTCTAGATTTTGTTGTAATTTTATGACACCAGGTAAGTTCACTGATGAATTTATACTCATATTGACCATTTCCAGAACATAAATTTTATGTTCATTCTAAGACGTATTATCACTTTATATATGATATCAAGGATTCAGCTATTACCGTAATATTCCCTTCCTACTAAAAAACTTATTTAAAACTTAATAAAGTTAAAGCTCGTTATAAGATATATATGACTTTAAATTATTTTGAAAATTACCTATTACATGTACTGATATTGTTACAAGTGATTGTAGTATTTAATTACTAAAACTAAGTATTAATCTTTAAAGGCTAAGAATGGAAGTGATAAAGTCACTGAGCTGTTTGAAAACCTGGCGTTTTGTGGTCCAAGAGCTTTGAATAAGTTTATATCCCTGCTAAAACAATATGAACCCCATTGGCTTGCTGACAAGCTGATTGAAACACGACTAAGACTCTGCAATGAGGAAAAACACAAAAAAGAAGAAAAAATCAGAACAGGAGAACCAAAAGAGAACGAAAAAGCTAAAGAATATGGTATACTTTGAACATATTTTATTATTTATTTCACCAAGTACATTTACAACTTATTTCGTACATTACATAAAATGGTTATCAGAACGGAAACTTCCTTAAATACTCTGTACCAAGATCTGGTTAAAGTAAGCCATAATAAACCATTCATAATTGTAGTCCTGAAATTGGCAGGTACTCACTTTTCAGTGGGTTTTACTCACCATGATGACATTCAAGCTAGTTTTCTTTCTAATTTCAGTTGCAACACGAGACAGCATAATCAAAAAGTACATAGATCGATTAATCTATTCGTATTTGGAAAAATACTCGCTGGAGAAAAAACAAGAACTTAGGGAGAAATTAGTGAATTATGTCAAAAGATTTCTTGAAAAAGAAATATCTAAATCTTGTTCAGCAGAGTCCCACGATTATCAGAGAGAAATCAGCGAGATCCACTTACAGATAGCCCCCTATCTAACAGAATCCCAGAAGATTATCAATGAAAACAATGCAACATTTTCAGGTTTAAAACAGGAGGTAGAAGCATTGACGAAACGTATTTTAAGCCTTGAGAATAAAGCTGTAAGGACCAGACCACTAATCAACGTACAAACATCAGAACAAATAGAAGCACTTAAAAACGACTCGAAATATGAAGTCCTTGAAGATAAAAACAGAAGACTTCAAGACAAAGTCAGAAGTCTAGAAACCGAAATAAGAAAATTAAAGCAAATCAAACAGGATAAAATAACCGAGGGCCCAAATTTAAAATCGAAACCAACGTATGCTTGTGAGAAGACACATAACCCAGCACCAACGCCCCGAAAAGCAAAGACACAGTTCCTCACTGCACCGTACAAACACATCACAACACCAAAAAGGAAGGTGATAGCCTGCAATGCAAGGTAACATACGCTTACTGGCAGCTGTCAGAAATGATAAAACAGTCTTTAGTGACTAAAGTACGAATTTCTCATAGTGAAGAAATTTTAATAGTTTGAATTCAATATATATTTATATACTTATTTGTGCTGAGTAATTCCACCAAATTTTTTAAAATCAATATCAATAATCCAAATACAACAAATAGTTAAATCACGCAGCACTAATCAAGGGCAATAACTCAAAAAAAACGTTCATCGAAAAATCGTAAAATTCGAACTTCTTTCGAAGATCTTATCAATTCCAATGCTCACACCAAGTTTCATCAAAATCGGTTGAAAGCTGCCTCTTGTTGATATTATGTTCATTTATCTTTGCTTTATTCAATGAGCTTTGCAATGCCATATCGATTATGCTAATAGAATCAGATAGAGCATCATAAAAACAGACCAGGTCAAATAACGGCGGCAGCCTCCCGAGACTAGGGGTACCAATGCGATGGAAGGGGGACAACTGTCAAATGCGGCAACTCTGTTAAAGAGGTTTTGAGAAGCCTTTTCCACTAGAACATTTTAGATAAATAGAATTGATTTGGTCCGATCTGATTTCTGACAAACATTTTAGGGCAAAAAAGGTGTAACAAAGATATTTCAAAATGTTTCTGTGAAAAAGAAATGGGGTTATCATCAAAAGGCGGAGACCATTATCAATGTATCTATGTCAGAGTTGTAGGTACTTGATGACAGCTGAATTTTTATGTCTATGATTCAGTAAACGATTGTACTTGTTGTTTGTTTCAATCAGATTGAGATAACCCACTCTACAGCCAACCCACTACCATATTTTATCCTATTCTGTTAAGGGTGGTGATTGAGATAACCCACTTTACAGCCAACCCACTACCATATTTTATCCTATTCTGTTAAGGGTGGTAATTGAGATATCCCACTTTACAGCCAACCCACTACCATATTTTATCCTATTCTGTTAAGGGTGGTGATTGAGATATCCCACTTTACAGCCAACCCACTACAATATTTTATCCTATTCTGTTAAGGGTGGTGATTGAGATATCCCACTTTACAGCCAACCCACTACCATATTTTATCCTATTCTGTTAAGGGTGGTAATTGAGATATCCCACTTTACAGCCAACCCACTACCATATTTTATCCTATTCTGTTAAGGGTGGTGATTGAGATATCCCATTAACTATTCGGTCAACTTTCCTAGCAGTGCGCATTGTCATCGTGTCCAAACCACGCCCCCATTCATCATAAGACCATTATTAAAACCCGTATTCGTGATACTATGTGCGCATTGTTTATGTCATTTTGTACTACACTAAATTTATTGTTTATCATAATATATCAAAATCGACTTTTGAAACGTGACACACATATTTGAAGAGTCACGACGGACATTTCAAACTGTCACTACGAAATAAATGACATAGTTTAAATTCTCACGCTGGACATATCAGCGACTGATCTATCAGTTTGAATAATGAAAATTCAATGGCGTTAAATGTACTCATTAATTTATCTTTCAAACGAAATACAATTAAAAAATACACCCGCCAGAAGTCATAATTTCTACCCATGACATCATTTAGATCTGGCAAAAACAATCATTAATTTTCCTTCAAACGAAAATAGATATTAGTAGAGTTATTTTCTATCAATGACGTCATAATATAATGTTGGTTTTTGACTGCGCGTTTTTTTAAAGCCTCCGTCATTAACTTACTGTACGTTAGATTCATTGTGATTATTTTTTGATTTATGATATATATATATGTATATTATATATATATGAATGACACAAAATACAACCTGAATTGGGTTATTATGTCGGTAGTTGTAAAATAAGAGTTTCTTGCCTTGGGGGACAGTCAATTAAAAATACGAGTCAGTCATGGTGATGGATAGGGGATATTCTTTGTTTGTTTGTTTCTTTAATTGCTTCTGGTTTTAATTAAACGTAACAACATTTCAGTTCCTAAACCTCATTCGAAACTTGCTTTCGCGGTAATTTTATTATCTATTAAAGTATGACATAATAAATAAAATATTCTCTCCAGCTTACAATGTTCTCCATCATAAATATATATTAACGTTATAAATATTGTTTTCTTTCGAAAATTCCACATAAGAAGCAAGGGAGGGGGGGGGGGGGGGGGCGCAAGGCGCATGGCGCATGGTACATAGTACAAAAATTGCCTGTACAGTAAAACTATAACACCAGACCAGGTAGCTTGCCCGGTACTGTGTATGAATCAAATATAGTAGGTACAAGATGCGGACACGATTGACTTACGTTATTTTGTATCGGTGTATTGACAATTGCATCCTTTAATTAGCACTTGACACCGTACCTCG